AGTGCTCTGTTGAAATGCTGACCAATTTAAAACCTGGCCTGAATTCACCCAGGCTCTTAGTTGATCAGAAGAGTTTACTGCATTAATTTCTTCCAGTTGATCGAATACCGAAGTATTACAAACTAGTAAGTCTACAGTGTTTACTCTGAAGTGTAGCTTTAATTTCATGTCCAAAAATAGTTTCTAAAACTTAGAAATGTGTGATTTGATGTGTTTAAACCTCACACTCACGCCTTCAGAGTGTATTACAGTTTAACAACAGTTGGGCTAATAACACTCCCCCATAATCCTAAAGAAAAGCCAGAGCTGTCAACAACCAAATCCTGTGGTGGTGAGGGCACCTCGGGGGTGGCCGGGGACGCTTGGTGTCCCTTCACATCGGACGCGGGGCCGTGAGGGCAGAGGCACCAGGCCGAGGCATGGCGGCAAGGCCCGGCGCCAGGCAAGGCCTTACCTGGGAGCTCCCACTGATGTCTTTTCCACAGCTGTCCAGCTTTGTCACAGACCAGTAAATCTTGTGAAGTTTATTTTCCTTCGAGCATCTGTGTTTTATAATGGTGCTTTTAATTTGTTTTTTCGCTGTCTGCTGGGATTTCTTTTGTCCGGCACTTTCGGGCCTCCCTTTTCTTGCTGGTGGAAGTGAGCCCGTTAATGATGGCTGGCTGGGGAATACAGCCCTGCGCGGCTCACAGGGCCGCCTGCGCCCTGCCTGCAACAACAAAGCCCATTGTTGTTTGCTTTCTTCACTTCTGTCTTCAAGTTAATCCATTTTCCCTTTGAGTATTCGTGGAGTAAAATATCTGGAAAAGCGCGCCTCAGGTTTTGGAGGGATGGTGTATTCGCTGTGTGCTCTCAGCAAACAGGTACAAGGACAGAGCTAATTGATTCTATTCTCCGTGCCTCAGCAGGCAAAGTTTATCCAGCCTAATGCTGCACTTGTAAATAAATCTCTGCTTTCAGATACCAGAGCCACAACATCCTTGGCTCTTTGCAAGTTGTGTGCTTGATCTCTGGCTGCCAATCCCTTAGTAAAATTAATAAGAGATTTGCCAACAGCTTAAATTGAGACATATATATTTATTTTTTTTTTTTGCGCTGGATGTCTAAAAGGCTGAATTAGGATTTACTGTAGGAGTTTTAGATTTGGGTTTAGCTATGATCAGAATTGTGACCTCGAGTCTGTAATATTTGAGTGTAAATCATGCAAGTGCTTTTTTCTTGTGGCATCCTGAGCTGTGGCCCAAGCTGCGAGGGAGTATAGGTAAATGCTTGTAAATGGGGAAAATAAACCTTAGGCTGAACTGGCCTTGATGTATTCCTTGCACAGCTATTGAACTGTTGTCTGAAAACCTCTTTCATGGCAGCTACTGGAAAGACAAGTACTTGACCAAAAGGACTTGCCTTGGTGTCCTCAGGGCTGCTGATATCATGGTCTGGCCGATTACCAAGGGAAAGTGCCTCGTTGCTACGGATGCTCTGCTGAAAATGTTCTCACTGGTTCTTGTGAGGGTACATTTACCATGAAGCTGTGCTGCTGGTGTTTAATTTTCTCCATAGCTCTTGGAGTAGAAAGTATTCCTTGCGTAGTCTATATGGTATGATTCATGTTTAACTTGCAGTACACAACCAAGTTAGCATTTACAGTTAAACTGCCAGTGCTGAATGGAGTTACTCCATTGAAGTTATAATTCTGGGGCTTTATTCTTTACTAATAAACATATTTCCTTATAAGAATTGCTGTACTGTCCATGTGTGGCAAGGTAATTTGAGTACAAGATTCTGCTTTTTGAAAAATATTTGATATTTCTAAAGGACTTCAGCTTATTTGCTGTGTCCTTCGACAGTGAATCAACAACTGCTTGAACTGTAGAAATAATGTTGATGCTTGACTGCATTCTTTGTGCTCTTCTGGCCTGATCCTGCAGTCCTGCACACACAGAACTCCCATTTACTGCAAGAGAGGTTTCCCAGTTCTGAGGGCTGCAGGAATGGAGGGTGGCTTTCATGAATTTAGGGATGGGTACAATATAAAATTACAGGATTTTTAAAGGACTAATTAAACATAATGTGTGAGACTGTTTTGTTCCAATGTTCAGACTACAACATGGCTTCTGCTGAATGTTCAGTAAAGTAACAGCCCTAGTCATGGAGTGCATTTACTGGCTCCCCAAGGCTATGCAGTTCAGAAGACAAGGATGTATCTGATAGGTCTGAGGCAACATACAATGAAGATGTAACAGCACAGAACATTTCCATCATAAAAACAGCTAAAAATATTTCAGTGAAAATAAAAGCACATTATTTTTGCTTTTTCTGTTAAGCCTGATTTTCTTTAACCTTTCTGCTCCATCTTAATATCACTGTAGTCAGGTTTTCAAAAAATCTGACTGCTATCAGAAATAATTTCTCTCCTTGCATTCCAACTTTTAATTTTTGATGTGTATCACTGTTAATTGCATTTATTTGCAATTAGGTAGCTAAATGTTGCTGCAGAAATCATGGATTGGCAAGCAATAGTTAATAGTTATTAATAGTTAGGTATTTGCAGTTTTTCCATTTGTCATGGCTGAATTTATTTTTTATCATGTTTGTTCTGTTAAGTGCTGAGCATTATGAGCTCTGCTTTAATTGATTTTCTTACTGAAGTTTGTAAACATCAGATTAAGCTACACATTTAAACCTGAATTGCTTGAACTCAGAATGTTCATTCCTTTGAAGAATTTTACATTTTGTTCCCATTCAGCATCTTTTACACATTTGCAGTTCTCTCCGGATGCTTTCATAGATTTTTATTTTTTTTACTTTATTTTCTCATGTTTGAGCCTATAAATGTGTAGGATGTTATTACTACAATTTGTATTTTTAAAAACTCTTTTAAGTTTTTTTTTTTAATTCAGGAATTTAAACTTAATCCTGACGTTTTCTGAGTATCCTCAACTGCCTTGGCATTCATCAGCTTGTGTGGAAATAAACCCATCCTCGTGTAGGAAGGACAGCTGTAAATGCCTCACTTTGCTGCGTGCAAATACCCTATTGAATCAACTGGCAATTTTGCATATGGAAAACTGCACGATGTGGGGAGCAGAGGGCACCGGGTAATTAACTGAGCCTTAGGGTGAGAGAGAAGACTGTGCCGACACAGTCACTCGCTTCAGTAGTTGATAATTAGTCGTTATATTCCCAACAAGTAAAAGAAAAATTACAGGCGTTTGGAGCCCCGGCTGTGGATGGGCTCTCTGTGTGCTGTGTTACTGCAGTTGCTTCTGGTGATTATAGGGGAGAGAAACACTTCCAGAGAGGCCTTGATTACATGCAACAGTAACTAATTAGACAATAAAGCAGCTAACTATTCGTACTCTTTTCTACAAGAACCAAGAATGCATTATGAAACTAATCTTTAAAAAAAATTAATTGCATCTCGGTCTTAATTTAAAACTGAGTGTTTTATTTTTTTTCCCCTTTCCTGTTTCTTTTTATTCCAAGTTGGTCCAGGAAAATTGCTATTAATGAAATCTGCTCTCTGAGACTTCAATCGGCTTGTTATTCATTAAAGCCTTGCTATTTCTCCTAAAATGTATTGACCAATGCTCAGGGCAGATACTTAACACAAAATACACTTTGTAATTTCATCATTTTTGTTATTGTGCTTTTTTAAGATGCAGAGGTCTATGGACTTTGTAGAAAAACAAATAAAAACCCTAAGCTTACAGTTACATAGTATTAAAAGAAGGGTAAAGGAAGCATTGAGTGTCTTTAGGATGATGAGACATTCATTAAGATTTTTCCGCCTTCCTTTTCCTATTTTCAATCCATCTGAAGTACCATTAAAGCTTTTCAGGCAGCTTCCTGTGAGAAACCCTCTTCTGTGCTGTTTTTCTTCCTTGAAAAAAGGTGGCTGCTCTTCAGTCAGATTGTATGGATTTGGCCTGGGATTTGTATAATATCTGTGTAGAATGCATCAGTTGTTTAGGAACCTAATTCCCAATATGGCTCCCTTTTGATTAAGAACAAAGCCAGCATTTCACAGCATTATAGGAACACAGAAAAACAAGTTAATGATCTAAACCTTTTAATTCATGGTTGCTTGTCTATTTAAAGTACTTTTGATTCTGCTATAAACAGACTGGCCCCTTTTTTGTTTAACTTCTTTTCTTTGGTTTCTTCACATTTCTTTCTTTACTGTCCATGAAATTTGTAGCTAGTTTCCTTTTCTAACTGAAGAATGAAAGGTTGTGACTACAGAATGATACAGAAAGTAAGAAAGCGTATCTAAACTGGGCGTATATCCAGCGCAGACCTCTTTGAAACAAGCTAAATTTAGGGTTGTTGGGATTTTTTTTGTTATGTTTTCCCCTTCTCTTTTTGAATACCTATACTTTGTTTTATTCCACTTTTTTAAATGAATGTCAAGTTAGTTACTTTTGCGATACTTGCTTGATTTTTACATGATGCTTCGTATGGCTTTATTTTATGTAGTTACTCGTGGTATTTTCTTTCTTCCTTAGTTCAGCAGATTACTATTCTGTGTGCCTTTATCCATAGAGACAACAAGGGCGACTTTTTCAGAACTTTCAATTACCACCACAGTATGAGGTACTTCAGGAAAATAGTTCCCTTCCAGAATATTCTTTTTTTTTTTTTTTTTTTTTTTTGTCAGAGAATTGGAATCTAGAGCCTGTTCTTCAAACCAGACTCTAAAACTTTTTGGTGAACAAAACTGCTGGGCAAGCAGCAGCGGCATGAATAATTCCCTTTCTGTGGAAGGGGACCTTATTCCCTGTATATAAATAAAGGTTTGCTGCTTCCATTGTCGTCACGTATTTTTTTCCTGAAATGAAGATGACTTTTTTAGATTTGCTTTTGTTTACAGTGGGAGCTCATTATTTCTTTCTTTTTTTTTTTTTTTTTTTGGCAATGGCTTATTTCAGGCACTTGTTAGAAATTATAAATGAAGAAAAAAAATCCACTAATACATTTTATTACGTCTGTATCCCATCAAGGTAAATTGAACAGCCAAGACACTTACAATAACTTCACAAACAATAATCCTGGGAACCCTCGACTCCTGCCTCTTCCAAGTTTGACTGTGGTGTTGCCTCTTGCTCAAATCAAGCAGCCAATGACATTAGGGACCATCACCAAACGCACAGGGTAAGTGGATGTGCACGAACCTTTCTTAACCTTGTTATTCGTAGTTTATATGAAAATAATTTCCTTATTTTTATACCTGTTTTTATTCCTTTTATTTTACTTTTTATTCCAGTGGTAACAGAATAGTTGGGGGGGGGGGGGGGGGGGAGGAGAGTGCATAAGAAAAGAAAAACAGCAACAAAAAAGAACTTAGTAACTCAAAAAAAGAATTCAGGAGCATTCTTTTGGATGGGTCATTTTCTTGCAGTCTATCATATGGGAAACGCTGGATGCTGCCATCAGAAGTTTCACACCAGGAATTGGTATGAAACATAAGCAGAGCTGTATTCAATCAGAATAAGTTATGGTTTTACTTTTTTTTTTTTTTTTAAAGAGTTTGTTTATTTTGATTTCCAACCTTCTCAAGCAGAGATGATTTTTGACTATCAGAAATTGAAGGACAGTAAGCCAGGCTGTGTATAAAGAGAAAACTTAATCCTGATGTTTTCTTGACCTTATTTTTCTTCTGAAGTGACCGTTCTGTACTATGAAATTGATGTGTGGACTTTCACTCCAGAGCCAGTCACACTTCACTACTTCGTGATGTGCCATGATAAAGCACTTCAAAATGCTTGTTATGAAAAGCTCTACTGAATATATACAATATATATACATTATAATTACAAAGAAGATTCTGTGAGTTTCATAAACCATAACAATTTTCAAGTTAATTCATGCTGTTGAACAGTTGATATTTTTCTCTTGCTAAATTCTAAATTTTAAAGTTTTTGCAATTGATCCATAAAGCTAGTAGGTGATTTTTTTTTTCCTTCTCAGTTTTTGGTACTTCAAATCCCTGAATATATTCTAATTAAAATTTTTAATTCTGATTTATGCATTAATTTACAGACTGCTTTTATATTAAAAAAAAAAAAAAAAACAAGTTTGTCTTGTTTGACTGTCTCAACAACTGAGAGTCCTACAAGTTAACATTTCCCTGTATCTTGGCAAATGGGTCCTGGCACTGTCTTGCTTCAATTGTTCCTTGGTTTCTTGCTCAAACACTAGTAGTGAAGTGAATTTTACCTTGTGTTTCATGACCTGGGAAATATTTTTCAGAAGAGAGCTCATGGAATATTTCCTCTCTCCCTGAGTAATTCCCATATTCCATGTTTGAGTGTTCAGAGCATTCTGTTAAATCCGTTATTGTTTGCTTAGTGCTCTAAGCATGCATGATGAGGTTCTAAAGCTTACATATGTATGCACGTATGTACATGTTTATCTCTATGTGTCTATCTAACAATCCAGTCCTGCTCTCACCGCTGTAAACAGTAGGCTTTTAGAACCAAATCATGAGCTGCAAACACTCAGTTGTCCAAAGGAACGAGGCTGTCTGCAGTTCCTGAACTTCACAGATAATTGTAAATAGGACTTGGTAAAGAAGTAATACAAGGGTAATGCTGTGATTTATTTCTTCCACAGATGCATTTCAGTTGCTTATATTTGCATTTTTTTTTCTGCTTACAGTTTAAACACAGGCAAGGGAAGTGTGTTAGCAATCAGATGCATTTTGAAAGTAAAGAAGGGTGTGATTTTGGATGAAGACAAGAGGCGAGCTAGGTTCAAAGAAAGGTTGGTGTTCATGGAAATAAGTAGCAAGTTACAGAAAGGAAAATAACAGAAAGATTTCTTGAAGATTACAGTCAGAGAAGAGCAGAAATGCAGTCTCACAGAAATGGAATAGGAGCTTAGAACTAGGTAGGATGAGATGCAGAAAATAGAAAGCCATCTGATGGTCTGTAAGGGGAAGGCATTGTGATAGGAGAAGTGGTGAAGGGTGATGATTTAAAAAAATAATAATCACCACTGCAGTTTTTGAGTTACTAAGTTTACAGTAGTAACTCATGCAGCTGCCTTTACAGAACTGCTTCTTTAATATAGTGGTGATACCAGCAAACTTTACTATGACCATAGTGAATGTAATAAATCTGCATTTTGGATTTAATATTTTATTCTTATTTATCTCAAGCATATTCAGAGAGTGTTCTTATTCCTAGTTTTCTCTGACTAAATTTTACCACTCACGAACTGTCTGTGTCCTATTATTTTGTATAATTTTTAAAATTAATTAAATTTAGAATACTCAGTGAGGCTTATATAAGGGGAGGAAAAAACAGTCATGGGAAATACCCTGCTGTGTAAATAGAGTTTTTATGAATGAGGATCATAATTTTCAGTGAAGCCTGTGTAGATGTGTAATGCTAAGCTGAGAGCTTCCTTCATTTGTTCTGCATCCAAAATATTTGATGAAAGTACACAAAATTAACATGAAAAGCTGTATTTATAAGGCAGGGATTTAAGAGGAATGCCTCGGATCCAAGAAGCCTGGCATGCCTAAAATGACCAAATTGAGACAGCAGCCTTAACTTAAACCTCCAGGGGGCAAAGCGTGTGTTTAACATATTTAACATCTGCCCTCATATTTCTGGAAACACATAGCAATGTAAGTCTGTACAGTGTAATATTTAGACAGGACAGGGACCATCTGCCTCACTCTGAGAAGTGTAGGAGGCATGTATTACTGCAAATGGCAACAGACAGATGTATTTACACCTACATGGTCAGCACCTTTAAGCACTGCTCCAAGGAAACAAGGCTCTTCTTTGGAAGCAGCTGCTTAACCTTGTGATTGTGCAGCGATCAGAAAAGGAGACGGACTTGCAGTCGGTTGGCTTTTACAGTCACCATTCGGTGGCCCTTAAAGCAGATTCCTTTTCTGTTGCTGCTTTGAAAGAATTAAGCAAGACTAAAAGAATATCGTGTAATTACCACTTCTGGATTTGTCCATTTTATTTGCTTTTAGCATCTGAAAAGCTGCTTTAATACTAGACATTTTAATTAAGCTTTGCAGGTTTTATTAACCAAAAAGTCATGCTGGGTTTTGTTTTGCCAGTATCCAAGACAGCAAAATATTTTTCAGGTAAAAGGAGGGATCATTGCTCTTAATATTATTTGCTCAAGCAGAGCTGCAAAGCATGTCATTTTTCTTGACAAGTGGAACGGCAGTAAATTTTTTAAAAGTGTTTGCAGTAGCCCTATGGGAATGAAAGGCCAGAATCTGGAGTCGTGTCATTGCTGTGCTGTTCATCACAGAGGCTTTTTTTTCTCATGTAAACTTGTGGGTTTGGGAACATTTTCTGATCACTCATTAAACTCTGAATCTGAATACAATTTACATTCTCAGCACCAGACATCTCAGAGCATTACCTCCCTTCTTGCCCATCACCAGTGCTTCCTAGTTCCCTGCCCTCTTTTTCTTCCCTTGCTTTTCCCAGTCTCTCACTGTAATTTCCCCACCTTTGTGAAGCACTTCATTTTGGTCCCTATATTTTGTCATCCCATTGACTCACTTTCCTGTAGTTTGTACTGTCAGCACTTTCTGAGGAGCAGATAGGCTTTCCCAAAGGGGCTCTAGCACTAATGAGGGAGGAAGCATCTTATGTTTTAAAGATCAGGGGGTTGTAAGAAAGTAAAAGAGCTAGATTTAATAAGTCTTTATAGATCTGTGCCTCAGTTTCCCTTTCAAAATTTTAATAGTAATGCTGAATTCTTTCTCAAGTCTGGTGAATGGGTTAATTCATTGCTCATTTAACAAAGAGCTTATAGATTTGAAAGGGGAAGAACTGTATGATCCATCTCATGCTTGTCTATAAAAGGCAGTGTATTAGAATATGTTAGAAGACAGCTTTGTGCTTTGCGATAGCTTTATAAGCTTGCCTTGTGTTTGTGGAATGAGTTGTAGTTTGTTTCCAGTTTGTAAGAATGGGGGGGACACAGACGGACTGTAATAGAAAGGAGAGAAATAAAAGATAGAATCACTGCCCAAAATGAAAAACTGTTTAAAAAGTTGTCTTCTCTGACAGCAGCATTTGTTTTAACTATCTCAAGGGGTATGATCATTATATTTGTATCATACTTCATTCTCTAATTCATTATAGACCTAGTGAAATGCCAGGATGTGACCTGCATTAGTTGAGTCTTACCAAAACAGAAACATCCAATGCACCTTGCAGGAAAAGAAACAAACCTTTTTTTTTTTTTTTTTTCATCCAAAAAATAGTGAGTTTTAAAACATGGAACTTCATCCATTCTTCATCCCATTCCCCATTTTCATACCTCATTCCACTCCCAGTAAGGAGAAAGTTATGTGAAGTGGCTGATGTTGCAGCACGCTGAGATGCTTTCATTTTCCTGCTTCTCATTGCTTATATTACATGTATCATACGTCACTATACCCATTGGTTTTATTTTGACTAAGAAGAGCTTCATTGAGCCCAGGTTCTACTACTGAGGCAAACAAAAATGAGGAGTGCAAAGTCATGGTGTCATGATACATTCCAGTAGGCAACGGTAACTAAAAAAGTCAAGGAAATATTAAAAGTAAAGCTAAAGAATTCAGTAAAATAGGTCAGCTTGCCTGCATGCTGAAGCCAGACACTCTTTTTCAAACACATTCCAGAGACATGTTTTGTGCCACTTCAAGGTTTTATAAAAAATTTTGGTAATAAAGCACCTACTGTAATGATTTGCAATTGATATGAAATATGGCCATTTGCACTGAATTTTGTTCAAATGTCAGTGTTCATGAAAGGATTCTCATTTCAGATGGCAACATGATAGCAATGAGGGTTGTAGTGTGTGGGTATTGCACAGTATATTCAAAGCTTAAATAGTTGCAAGCTTTTATGAAACAACACAGAATATTTCAGTTTTGAATTTGATAAAACTCAATCAGAAAACAAAAAGATGCTGTTGAAATTTTGAATTATAAATCATCTTCATTAAAAAATTTTCCTTCAGAATTCCCCACTAGCTATGAGAACCTCAGTGAGTTTTTTGCTTTGGCATTGCTCTGTTCCTGTCACCGAGCATAGCCATCTGGTGCTGTCTTTTCAAGGTTGGGTTATCCTGTAATTTGTACTCTCTCTCCTCCCCCCCAGCCCCTCCATTAACATACCATCCGTACTACATGAAGGAAGTACTGGAAAAAAAAAAAAAGCTTAAATAAATATCATAGGAAAAAATGGTCATTTTAAAAGAAATTGGATCTCGTGATCATAAAGAAAAAGCTATATTCTGTCTTTCAAACTCACAGCTTATTAAGACACACCTTAGACTTTTGAAGTGTAATTACTTTTTCTTCATAACACAAGATTTTGAATCTATGTAAAAATGACAGCAACAAAACAAAAACCAAACAAACAAAAACACAAGACACCACCCTCCATGGAAGTCTGTGTATCCACCTAAGTCAATTTGTATTTCAACTAGAGGAATTTGTTGATTTGAAAATGTAATTGGGTCAACACAGTATGGTGAGCTAAATAGAAAGTCTGCTGTTACCTTCTAACCTATTCTGATGAGCTCATGGAAACATCATTTGCCTGCTTTTTGCAGACAGAGAAACTGAGGCAGGCAGAAAAAAAATGACTTGCCAAATGTCCAGGATCATAATTCAGAAACTCCAAGCTCCCAGTCAGATTTGACCACTCTCCAGTGACTCTTCAAATGTACACAAGATAGGTTCTAGGTTTTAAATTGCATTGGCTATGGATTATGCAAAAATCTTCACTTTCCATTAAATATTTAAATGGTGTAATAGTGCTGTGGTAATCTTATGGTGAGCTATTAGAATGGCCTTCAGCTCAGTTAGGGACTGAATATTGACTCTATAGGACATCCTACAGTTCATAACAGCACATGCAATTCATACAGTGCATGCAATTTAATTGGGTTTTATCACTACTCAAATATGATACATTGCATCCAGAAAGGCAGACGGTTCCACTAAATGAGCTCTCTCCCCTAAAGTGCCAAACGTTCATTTAAATACAAACATTTGAAAGGCAGGCCGTTATACAGAGTTTCAAAGATCTTCAAATCTTTTTTTGACAGATATTACTAATTAAAAAGTGGGGAGGAAGGAGAATAGTTTTTTTCCACACTATTCTAATTTTTAGTGAATTTTTACATCTTTGGATGTAGAAGAATATATGTCTTAGTTCTCTACCTTCACGTATTTTTTTTCTAAGAGGATTCTGCATTCGTTGAAGTTGCACTCATGCCAAATTCAGTTTCTAGAATTATTTTTTTGTGTATGTTGGAGTACTGTTAATTGTGTAGGCTTATGGCTTTATATATCTCTCAATGATAGACCTTCTCTGTTTAGTTGATTGCCTGAAAATACTTGACTTGTTTCAACTAGCCAGAATTTATCCCTGAGTCAGAGCATGAAAAGAAAAATGACACATTGGCATTTACAAAATCAATTATTCAGTAATTTTGTGGATAATGTTACATCCCAAATGAGAATCAAAGAAGCCGTGAGCATGTGAGTAGCTCTAAATTTACCTCCTGCTCCTGCTTTTCAGATTTTATGCAAATGTCAGTATGGCTATGGCCTGTGATGTAAACAAGGGAAAATTCCATTCAAAATGCAATAAAATTAATGGGGTGTGATACCACTCTAAGAACTATACACTGCGCAAAATACATGAACAACAACCAAAAAAATAGTGTAGATAAATTAGTGAGTGGCCAAAAACATTAAGGTCTATATCAGGTGATTTCTAACATCAAATACATTTGAAGTAAGTGAGGGTTCTCTTTCCTGCATTCCATGCAAGCTTACAAATGGGGGAACAAGATTTCTGTGGCATACAGTTGCTGAAGATTTTTAATTTAATAGGATCTATACTAGGAAAAGGGCTGGGGAACTTCCCTAAGAGAAAGAGTGCCTTGTACCTGTAGTCTTTTTTGCTTAGGCCGCACTTCATTTCAATAAATTTGTAAAAAATGTCCCACATAGACCGTCAGTGGTTCATGGAAAACACCCACAAGGTTGTTTGTCTTGATGCTAATTTACTTTCTTTGTCTATTAATTATGACTTGGATGTCTGTTGAAGGCTCTTGACTGCATTTGCCTCAGATTTGTCTGCAGGTTTCATGAAGGAGAACTAAACTGTGTCTAACTTGAATTACAACATCAAAACCTGTTTGCACCTGATGCATTACGTTTGTCACAGCAGTCGTGCATGGAGAGCCTCCCCTGTGAGCTCGTGCTTCTGTGGGTGGTTGCGTTGTCAGTGGGACCGTTCACGTGGGCACTTGTTCCCTTTGTGAGTGTCAGCATGCTGGTTACATGAGAGGTCTACATCTCTTCCAGGGCATCATGAACGGTTATAAAAATTCTTTTGTTTACCTTCTGCATAAATCTTAATAGCATGATGTACAGTGTACTTGTTGGTAATTGAGTTTTCATCTAATTTCTGTGCATTTTTCCCCTTTACGTGAAGACCTTACCTGTTTGGAGCAGGATGTTTTTCCATAAAAGCTCCATGGTGAGTTCCCAGTTCAATCCCAGCATGCCTAAAATTCATTTGCTGTACTCACTAAAAATAACTCTGTGTTTAGACTTTTTAATTTGGGATATATATATATTTATTTTTTTCCAATTTGTTTACTGCATGGCTGATTCATAGGTGGAAGCACTGCATAATTTCACTTTTAAACTGTGGATGTGTATTCACCATCAAGCATTGTCAAACAAATGCATTCACCTTTACTTTTCTTTTTGTCTCGTCTTTATTTTTTCTTTCTTTAACCATTGAGGGAGCATTTAATTTTTAAGTAGCACAGAAACTGAAAAAATAAAATATTTTCCCAGCAGGCAAAAGTGATTGCAGTATCTTTCCAAAGCAGGTCTGTTTTTTCTATATAGCTTCCCTTGTTATAGTAGCACTAAGTTGCTTGCAGACAGCAAACGTCGATGATGACCTCCCGATAATAAGCCAGATTAGCAATGAGTGGACAGTAAAGTATTGCAGTAAGAGAGATGAAGCAAGTGAAGTGGATGCTACAAAAATAAAATACAAAAAATGCTTATCACACCCGAGGAAAAAAATGAACCACAGTTCCTTTTAAATAATTGATATTTGAAATAATAAACGGTGTTGGTTGAAATATGTAAAATGGCAGCATTTTACAGAAACACAGACAAAACAAAACCAACTCTTGAGTTGCATACAGTGCTACATAACCTCCAGTCACCTTTTCAGAATGAGGTGGTTGAAGTTTTAAGTAGCAAGTATGGAAGAAGTTTGTAGGTTCTAAGGCTTCCTTAGAAAATTTAGAAACTTTTAGGCAGGAGGAGTTTTTCTTGTTTGTTCTTCATTTTAGCAAAGGGTTACCAGCTCTGTCTGTCAGTCTTTGCTAGAATATTTGTTTGTGGCTCTTGATTCTACTAATGGTAGTTTCTTCCTCTTGTATCATCCCCTTATGTCTAAAAATACTGTTTTCAGCAGAAAGAACTTCGTAAGAGCTTCATTAGGATGCAGAGTTCTTAGAGAATGGCAGAGGACAGCTAATGAAGGATATGTAAGCTATACCAAACACCAGACAAGCAAAGGTACTAAACATGACACTTTTAAAGGAAAGCTGCCATTTTCTTACTCCTGGAGAATCACTTCTACATGAATATTATGTGGGAAGGAGCCTATGTAATAGCACAGTATGGTATCTGGTTAGTGCAGCAGTCTTCCTAAGAACCATCCCTAAACGTAGTTTATGATGCATCTGAGTTTATTTGTCTGATGGGGATCTAAGAACTGAAAAGGCTCTGGAAGAAGAGTTTTCAATGTAGATTGTCTTAGCAAATGGATGTCCTGGTTGCTGCCTTCATAAAGCAGGCTCCCGGAGTTTCAGCAAAGCCAGGCAGAGATGCATGTCAACCAGAAATGATTTTAGATTGAAGCAAGATTAAAAGGCCTAGATTAAAGAGGGGAATATATGAAGTAGACTCAAAAATCGTTGCCTGTCTTTCACAAGACTGTTTTGTGGTTTGTTTAATGCCGGTGCTAGCTCACAAATATGGTCTTTACTAGCCTACAGAGAAATTAGGATAAAAAACACACTTTGGGTGGGGGAAGAAATCATGTTGTTTCCATTAAAGTCTTAATGAGTCCTAAATTATGTAAACAAAATGAATGGAGATTTGACAGCTTACTGCCTGGTGAATAAAGGAGCCTACCATTTCTTTCTTGCTTTCTCTTGTTTTATTCATGCTTTGACAACTAGAAACATGTCTTTCTTTTCTTGTTTTAGGCACAATGATAAATTAATTAAAATGTATTTTAAGACAGATAGGGTTTTTACAGTAATTTTTTAATTGCAAATTTCATGCAATATTTTTCTCTGATACTTTCGTGGTAGTTTATATAGTCAAGATAAAACTTCCACCTTCCCAAACTGGATGTTTCCATTTCAGTGTGTTTAGCTGTGGATTAATTGTGTAGTGACTTACAGATATGTGCCTTTGTTTTTAGGAATCTGACGTTTTTGAAGCCCATTCGTTGGTAATATAAAGCCAAATAGAGGCTGCAGAGAACAAGAATCATCCTATTTTATAGATATTTGAATTTGTAAATAATTTTCTTCATATCATGTATGTTCCAATTTATTTATTTTTTTAAACTCATGTCACTTATTTGAGTGTATGAAATTAAAGACAAATTTAAAAGCCAGCAGTATTTTGAGGGACATAGAGCTCTTCGAGGAACATTCCATAGCTGTATTGTGTAGCCTTTGATTTTTCAGTAGTTGTCTATGGTTTGCAAAATGTTTTAATATTGGTCAAGATCTGCTCAGGTGATAGAGCAAAAAACATCATTCTGCCCCACCCCACCCCAAGTGAGATAAGCAGAAAAGTTTCTTTTTTGCAGATAGACACTGGAACAGTTTGCACTTTCTACATTATTTTTGTTTTAAGGATATATATTTTTTACTACCTGCTTTGATTTCTGCACTGATACAATTGAGATAAAAATACTGTGTTGTCTTGGGGAATTAATTCTTGGTGTAGCTCCACAGTTGGGTAGACCAAAACAGGAAAAAGTCTACTGACATTTTATCCTCCATATACCTTTTGGTGCCGTTGTTTCTCAAGGTGTAATATTGAAATTAAGAGAGTGAATGTTTTGGTCATGTTAGCTTCACCTGTTTTATTTGGTAGTGTTGATTCCCAACAACCTGCACTTCTTCCTGCATCATAACCGCGTTCAGTAAAAAATACGGCATAATATTCGGAAAGTTAGCAATTGTGAAGATTCCTTTAAATTAACCCTTTTTAAAAGTGAGGCAAAATGTGCCTTAATTTCAGTTCTTGGAATAGTTTATGAAGTGCTGACAGGCTGAGAGCAAGTAAAGAGCAGGAGTTCATAGCAGAAACAAGTCATTCACCACCTACCTTCAACAGTATTGTTTGGTTATCATTTATAAGGCTGAGAGGGTGTTTGCATCTACATAATAATGAGGATTTATAGTTTCCATGTTGTTAAAATATCATAATGACATGAAAATAGATTTTTCTAATGGCATTACTATTACTGAATGTAACTTGGCTTTTGAGATCCCCTGAAAGAAAGAAATTTGGAGTTGGAATGTATTGATGAAAACGCAGGGATTAAAGTTAGACGGTGGTAAAATGAAAGATTCTTTACTTGCAATAGTTTTCAGCGTAGAGTTGTTGACATCTCTGCACTCTTTTCAGAAATATGTAGAAACCAGTATGATGCACTAGTAGGTCTTGGTTTTTGTTTTTAGCAGGACTAAGTTTAACCACATGAGTAATCGTGTTTTACAAGGTCTGCTCTTTCTGTCTACAAAACACCGCTCTTGAATGGAAAATGTTTTGGCACCGAAACCAACATTTAAATGCGTGCCTTGAAAGATGTGCATTTTAAAGACATGGTGTAAATAGAATGTAGTTTAGACCATTTCCTCCGTTGTTGTTTATATCCGTATTTGGTTGAGCTTAGGTCTTTGGAGCTAAGAGTGTGCAGAACCCAGGAAAGATTTTGTAATTTATTGTTACGAGTCCCAGATTCACTTCTGATTAAAGGATTGAAGAAATGGTTGAAGCCCATTTTGTCTCAGTTGAAGCTTTCACCAGTTTGTAGGTGAGAATAGAATTTGCTCCCATTTTTTTTTGCATTTTAAATTATTTTAATAACCTCAGATTGTGTTGTGTAAATATTCAGAATATTAAGAATATTAGAATAGTATAGAAATATTATTTTTAAGAGTTTCTAGGAGGAAGTGAATACAACTGAATCTCACCTATACTCACAGTTTGCTTTGCATTAACTGAGGAGTAACGCTGTCCTGGACAGCCTTGTTCTACATTAAATAACAATCGTTTACTGAATGAAGTATAGATCAGTAACAAGATTGCCATTAGTGCATTCATTTACATTGTCATTTCTGCAGGAGTTGTCAGTGTATGAATACTTGGGAGGTGAGAACTAAAAATAGTTATTGATACGCAACTTATTACAAAACTGGTTAAAAATACCATTTCAGTGACAGATGACTGTTTCAAAATGAGAGGAGTCTATTTTCAATTTTAATGAGCCATAAATAATAATATGTTAATATAAATTAAATATTCTAATATAGATTGTGAAGTGACACTTCACATTTAATACATATATAATACATTTATAGTCAGGAACTTTTTGGAACACAGATTTTTGACCCAGTAATCTGTAATTGTAGTTGTAACAGTTGGATATTAAGTGCTTTGTGGTGGTTCAATATCAGAGTTACTGACTATAAATTGCAATTGCTCTTTGGGGACGTTCTTGCTTCTCATGTAAGTGCAAGATCTTCAGGACAGGTCTAAGTCTATGAAAGTTCATCTGAATATTTCCATTGATTCTGGGTAGTGTAATGGAATTCTTTTTGAAAGGTCTTGTGTTTGTGTTGTTGTGGTGGTGTTTGTTTTCTGTTTCGTTTTGTTTTTAACAAATGTGACCATAGGCTTGCCATATGTGTGATTTATGGCAGGTAGCTTAGCTCCTCTGTGCTTCAGTGGGTCCATCTGTAAAAGTGGCAGAGCAATACTTTACAAAGTGTTGGGAAGCTCAACTACTATTTTTTAAAATCCCTTTCAGAAACCTGGCTGAAAATACAGTGCAAGTGCAAACAATTAGTTTTTTTCTCCCATTTTCATGTGACCTCATTTCCAGTAGGTATAGAAAAAGTATTTGCTGCTTCAAGTAGAAGGCAATTTTAAATGTTTCAAGTTGCATGACAGCAATCAAGGAGGCTATGTGTTTTTAACCATATGCCATATTTTACACGTGTCACTTACTACAGCTAGTTGCTGGAGTTGTTGGAAGGAAATAAAGTATTTGAGATCAGGGAGAATTTTGCCATGTATTTCAGTGAGATCTGGCTTGAGCTTTAGGGGACCAAGACAAGACTTCAGCCAGGTGCAGTCTCTGCAGCCAGGTGCAGAAGTTCTAGAGAAGCCCAGTTTATAGAATAATCCTGGTTTAGAATGCTTTTCTTACGTTATTTTTCATTACATTGATTTTGGATATTAAGACTTTTCCTGCTTTAGTGTCCCTGTTGGTTCATTCTGTTGAACCCCTTCACCCATATACAAGTAATTTCTAATCAACAACAAAAAAAGAGTAGTATGAATTAAATATCATTATACTTCTGCATAGTGTTTTAATTGCTTTTTGCCACTTTAAAGTATTTTTCTGCTGCTAAAGTTCATAATACTGCAATACTGTGTTTGCACGTTCATATATACACACACTCTTAGGACTGAAGAGCATTACTTAAAAATGAATAAGAATGTGACAGTATAATAGAGGCTGATATAATGTGGAACAAGAAATTAACAGAAGAAAAAAGGAAAGGAGGGAGAGGTAGCAAGAGAAGGGAGCAGTGAAGTAGAATAAAAGAAAGGGAGATAACTTACAAAAATGGGGAAAAAATGGAACATAGAGAAGAAGGAATCCTGCGTGAACTTCTCAAACAGCTTTTCCATTAAGGAAAGGATGAAATCCAGGTGTAATGAACTGAGGAAATGGGCAGTGCTCTGAGAAGTTCTGAATTTATACAAACCAGAATGTTACATGTCCTCAGATTCATTTAAGGAGCTGAAGAAGAAAATAAAAACACGACATGATGCAATGACATAATTATAAACCACTATACCTGCTACATGCATATTGTGAAGTTTCAGATGAGCATCTTTCTTAATCTCTTTTTATATGATATAATTACTGATTTGTTTTAACACGTAGCACATAAGTGTGTGTATTGTTTCCCTTTTCTTGTATCCTCCGCATGTTGTTCCCTCTTTCCCTTTTGCCCACATCACATCTATTTTAATGGTTTCAGTGGCATCAGTTACTGTGCCAGCTTATAATTGATCAGCAGTCAATTTTACCATTATTTCTAAGTATCTTTTTAAAATGCAAGAAAATACCAATCACCTAAATGACTGACCCAGCATCTGTATTTTCATTCCCAAAGGACTTGTAATTATAAATGTTTATATTCACTTAAGAAGTTGTTTCTATTGAATGCAAATATTCAATATTGGGTCTTTCAAACAGTCCAACCAACTCTTCATTATGAGCCAGTGCTGTTCTTCAAGTTAATGAGTTCAGTGACGAAGGGGAATTTGGAACCTATTATCCAGAAACACTAAGCATCTGTAAATCCTGCTAAATCTTATGGGAGCTGCAGATATTTAGCACTTCTGAATTTATGTCTTTTGACTGTTAAGCAAAGGACGTCTTAATTTTTGAGAATTAATTTTCATAATTTTATTTTATTTTTTCTTTAAGCAAAACCAAACCAGCTCCACAAATTTCACCCAGTAAGTCTATGGGAGGAGAGTTTTGTGTTGCTGCAGTCTTTGGATCATCAAGGTCATGGTTTGCAAACAATCCAGGGCTGAAAAGAGAAAAAGGTAGGTATACTGCAAATCTAGGCTTTGCATTTAAATTTGAATTCTCTGTTTGTTTGTTTTTTTTTTCATTTTGTGGTAACTTGTGAGCATATCGGGTGATTTTGTTTCTGAAATTCTATATCAATGGAGATTTTTGTGGACTTGCAGTTGTGATAATTCAGGTAAATAGGACTATTTACAGGAAATTTAAATTAGCTAAATGACTCACTGTGATTTATAATGTTATATATAGATGGAAAACAAACTTTGATAGTTCAATGCAAAGACACTGTGTGAAGCTTCCCATAAAAAGCTGGGAGGTAAAGGTGAGATACCTTTGCTAAAGCAGATGTTTGTCAATGTGTAGTTAATTGAATACATGTTGGTGAGAAAACATTCCCCTACTCTTACATGTGGTATTTATAGTTTTCTGAAGCAAGGGAAGAATTAACTGTGTTTTGTATGATTTTCTCTTTGTCTCTCCAGGTCTTTCACTCTTTTTAATTCATATATTTTACCACAAGTTTATTAAGCTAAGTGACTTACAAGAATAAAGAGTCTACTATTTCTGTTAAAAAATAATCTGATTCTGCTGTTGTATTGCAATAAGATTTTCTTTCTTCTTTCAAACAGATCAATCGAAACAGTTTGTAGTGGAGTCACTGTATATTATCAGCTGCTATGGCAGCCTGGTGGAGCACGTATTGGAGCCACGTCCACTCAGCACCGCTCCGAAGATCAGTGATGACACGCCCTTGGAAATGATGACGTGCCCAAGAGCCAGCTGGACTTTGGTTAGGTACTTCATTTCTTTTCCTTTTTTCTCCTTTTTGTCCAGAAAATGATTATGAATTCTTTCTTTGGAAGGGATGAATGAACTACATCATGATTTTCCCCCTTATTTTATCCTACCGTTCTTCATTGAAAGAGAAGTCTCTCAAATTTGAGCCTGACATAGGATGTGGTTCTGTCAGTGCTTCTGTGTCTGATTGGGAGCTTGCCATTGAAATACTTCTGTAGACATAGAGCTCCGTGAACATGGAATAGAGATCGTTATGAACTGGTGATTTTAAATGATCGGACTGTATTTTTTTAATAAAAGGACTGGAAACAATTATTCTAGTTGTGTATTGTATATTTAACTGTATATTTTAATTATTTTAGTAGTGTTAAAACACAGAATTCTGCCATGAGACAAGTGTGAGGTTTCCAAGATGAAGCATTGCAGAGTTAGGCAAGTTATCCTGTAAGTAGCTGAAGGTAGCATTTCTTGAGATAGTTGAAGAAATTATTCCTGACATGTGGAGGAAAGTAAACAAAAATTGATGAGAAACTGTTGTCAGTGCTTTTGATGTTTTAAAATATTTTTATATCGATTTTTCTTGGCTCCTATATTCCTTAGTGCTGCTTATTGCTGGACTAGATTGATCAATACTTGATTTACCAAGCTATTTAGGAATGGCCCACCCTAATTAAAATTACAACACAGACTTCTAGACCATTATTGTTGAAATGAGTAGGTTGTAATGGAATTGAAAATTCTAATTGGATCAATAGTCCATAACTTTACACAGCTTTATTTTCACAGTTTGTAAATGCTCAATGACTTTACAGTATCGAAGCAATGCTAGTTAACAGAACAAAAAAGTTCCCCAGGTTCCGTTGTGTGTTTATATTAAATAATGTTAGCATGACATACGGCGGTCCTAAACGTATTTACCAGCTTAATCTAAACCGCCTTCGTCATTTTTTGTGTGCAGTGTATGCTGCCGTCAACAAACAACTATTGTCTTTTCTTCACAATCTGCACGATTTGGTCATGCTGCTCAACTGCCTGTGGTGTATTGCAGTGTTTGAACAAGCTAATTTAAATAATTACAAACATTTTCTGAGCTTGTATAGATAATTATATGTGATGACAGAAACACTGATTTACATTCTCTGTATTAGCTTAAATATTAATAGTCTTGTGTTTTACCTCAGAACTCCTCAGTGGAATGAACTCCAACCACCATTTAATGCAAACCATCCACTGCTCCTGGCTGCAGATGCAGTACAGTACTACCAGTATCTTCTTGCTGGCTGTAAGTAGCTGACAACTTTTTGTCTTCTGTGCAAGTTTTAAGCTGAGTGTGACTTTCTGAAACAGTTTTTCAGCCTGCATTCCTCAAACAAAATGGCAGCAGTTGTCCAAGACAATTTCTAAAAAGTCATTGTGAATGAACTAGCAGGGGGCAGCACTTTTGTGTGAGATACCATTGAAATGTGATGAAGATTTAGAGACAACTTACCATGAAGAATGAAATCAGTTTATTTCAGAAATGTAGCAGTGTAGCAGGCAATAATATAATTACAGGAAGGTAAAATGTTTCTGCGGTTTTCCATTATAAAATTCCACAGGGATAAAAGTAGCTCTTTTTACAGGTTAAAATAATGCCTTAAAAGCTGAGGTTCAGTGAAGAATTTTTCAAATGAAAACATGTAGTTAAGTATTCATGACAAAAGTCCAGAAAAGAATAGTAACTGTTTCTTTCTTTAGATAATTTTATAATTAGAGAATTTTGCTAGCCAGGTTTATGATAAAGTTTATTAATTTTAAAGGTTGTTATCTTATAAAATTCAATAATTTTTGCTGCTTCTTTGCGAACAAGCCAAAAAGGTCACCATTTTGTGAACTAGATGCTCATTTACCATGTATGTATGGAATGTACAGTAAGTATTTTCATGCATAAACTTTATATTGTGTGCTAGAAATAATGCTCTGATTTTCTCTGTCTTTTTTTTCTTTTTTAAGAATATGCCAAAATGCACATGTTGTATTAAAATACAATAAGCTATAGGAAAAAGGACACCGTAGGGCACCTCCTGACTGCTAACTTATGTTGAGTAAATGCATGTTGTGTTAGAAATTGGGAAGCAGTAGGCACACCTACAAGTAGGTATGTAGTAGTGTAGATCTGAGTGCATCTGTGCAGCAGAAACATTTATTTGTTTCAGTACGTATTCACCTCAGAAAAGAGCTTCTTGTAACAAACTATATTAGTAATGGATAGCAGATGTAGTTTCTTTCTGATACAAATCAAAGTTAGGAGGCTACCACATAGGCAAAAAGTGAGTACTTGGCAAGTCTTTCAGGTGTGACTATTAGATGCCTTAAAGTCTTCAGGTTTTCCTCCTCTCACTTCTCTTGCTTTTAGCCATTTCCTCTTGTGATTTCTATATTCGGTGACAACTAAGTGCATCTGCATTTTCCCAGTCCCCTGGAAATGCTGATTCTGGCTACTTCCAGACAGAGTCTCAGGCAACTACTTCCTCGGGAATAGAAGAATATTAAGTCAATAGCAAGTGCCTCTTTTTTTAATTAGGGTGTAGTCAAGTTGAAGTGATAGAAGAGTCAAAGTTTCACAAGGGAACAACTCCTGGCATATGCAGAGGTATTCATGGGGATATTGGGCCCTCTGTGCAGGTGTCAGTGCAGCTAACACCAGCACGTTATGTGACACAGGCATTTAAGATGTAGAGGAACCTGGGCCAAAAGGCAGTGTGAACGTGACTTGTAAAAGTGACGTTAGCACCAGATCAGATGTGTTACTTCTACCTGTCCATCTGTTGTATGCTCTCAGAGCTCATAGTGTTGTGGAAAACTACAAGGCCAGGTTCTTCCTTTTTCCAGGCTGCTTAGAAAAGGGAAGAAAACTCAAACTTTAGAAAATAATCTGAAGAAGTAATTAATAGCACCCAAAACCAAGTGAGCTGTGCATTTCTATCAGATTTTACTTCTAGATTTCTGTATTATTTTGCTTTCACATGCATAGGCATGTAAGTTATGCTTTGAGATGAAAGGTCATTGCAAGGATGCTTGCTGGTTGTACAATATTTTGTAATGTAAATTTAAAATAGATCACTGTTTCTAATGAGTATGTCTAAAATCAGATGTGCAAGCCTATGCTTAAATTTTCGCATAAATATTTTGAAGCATTGAGTACTATCAGGTCAACAAATACATTTGTAGTTTTTATCAAAGCCTTTGATCAAGGACTGTCAAAGTCCTATTGACAACAGAGCATAGGTCTAATTTCATAATGTAGCTTAAGGTAACTGCTGCCACGCAGTCTGCTTATGTTGCCAATGATTCATTTTGGTATTTATATATTTATCCATTGCTTATGCACCTGTTGCTGGTGATGGCATTAAATGATAATGGCATTTTATGATAATGAGATAAAAAAAGGCATACTTAGGTTCACTCACAGAAACTGCAGTGTTTCAAGAAGTCACGTTTAGCTCGGCATATTTGTGAGGAAAAACATCATCTGTTTTCTGCCACCAAGGAGGTGGAGTTAAGACCCCATTCTAGCAGTTTTCTGTAATGTATATCCTGCCGTCCTGTTAGTAGTTAAAATATCTATGTAAGACAGAGAGGTTGGACAAAAGGATACTGTCTGTTGCTGTGTGCATTTATTGTTCTTTAGGGCTGTCGGGCCTCTTGCTTTGCTGAATTATCTAACAACCAGACTATCAAACGTGGTGTCTTCAGGGAAAACAGCAATACTGAGTCATCTTGAAACGCTCTCCACAGCGAGCTTTAATTCACAGATGCTTGCTATGTTTGTGAGTTCTTGCAGCTTGTCTGTTTAGGCCACATTCCTTTCCCCCCCTCCCCAAATTCTGTGCTCTAGCTGATGTCTGTCTCTTCCAGACTGTCTTTCAGCTATGTCTCCTGCAGACTGTCAAGCGTATAAATACAGAAAGTATTGCATGTCGCATGCAGTTATTGCAGCATGAGTCCAAAAGCACAGAATGCTGTCTGGAGAATTTTGGACACTTAGTACAAGTAGTTTGTATACTTTGGGGTTTCTGTTGAAATTTAAGTAATGTATAGATACCGTCTGAACAAAAGGCTTTCTGTGAGCATTAATGGTCGTATACACAGACAGGCTTACCCCACCTCCTGAAATTAGGGATGGATGAGACTCACTCTGTATATCATTAACAGGTCAAGTACCATGCAATTCAAATATTTTTGTACTGGAATCTTTTTAATGGAAGAGGAATGAGGGATTCCAACAAAGTAATGATTTTGTATTATTTGAATTACAGTGAACAATTTTAATTTGGGTTTTAATTCGTTTAGAAGGATTTTTTTAAGATGAGTGTGGAATGTGGAAAAACACAGAATAATAAACAGTAGAGACAAAAAAAATAGAGAACATAGTAAAAATAGCATTAACAGAAATTTGTGTATATGTGATCTTCTTTGAAGTTTTATTTGTCTTCTGGATTTGTTATATCTGAAGATAGTGAACTTTCTGAAAAAGTGGAGTCAAAACAGGATTCACACAAAGAGTCCAAAGCACCTGTTAGCTTTCCCCCCACTAAATACACGCTAAAACGAAGTTATCTGGCTCTGCTTACCTGTAGTAATGTAATGAGTTGACATTAGCTGCAGCCTGTGGTTTGATGTGCTATCACTTCCGTCAGTAAGTTTAATTGCCAGCAAATGGCTAAATAGGAGGTTTAGGGTGAATGTTACATCTGTCTGCCACGTTAGTGGTAAGAGGAATTCTGGCGCCGTTTCAGGGTCACTATTTGTATCTGTCTATCAGAGGTAGAATACAGCGGTTTCTCTCAGTTTCTGTATAGCATTTCTGCCAATTGTTTGGCTCCATTAAGTGTGCAGGGGAAATAAAAGCCTGAATGACCAAGTCACAAGGGGGTATAGATAGACCCTTTCTTTGTCCACACTCAGAACATTGCATTAGGTCTCATTATCCATTTATAATAAGTGACCTTTGCCCCCTGGGTCATTGAAAAATACTCAGTGTGCTTTTTAGCACAGAGTACCTCTGTCAGCAGACGGACAGAACAATGAAACGTCTGGCAGTCTGCTTGGAGGGCTATACTTTGCAGGTTTTCATAAATATGCAGGCTGATGCCAAAACACAGGACCAAAATCTGTTTTAGTCTCTGAAAAGTATGAAGTTGGCCACTAAATTCTTGTAATAAAGGAAGAAGGTTTCAAAAATACTGCACTTAGGTATTTAGTTAGGCATGGTTTGGTTTGGCTTTTAATATTTTTAAAGGTTTCTAAAATTTCATTCACAGCTAGTAAGGAAGTAACAAGGAACCATTGTTTGAAGAAGTATTTTGTACAACAAGTGTCCAAGACCTTTATCCCAGGGGTATTCGTAAGTGGATTAGCACAGCTGTTTGATTGCTTTGAGGTCATCTGTGACATCTGCTGCAAAAACCTGGATCAGACTATGCAGTTTGTGTCTACCTGAGCGCTGTACTGCAGCCATGGCTGGTGCGAGAGGTGAGAAAGGAGATGTGAACTCTTCTCTAAGTTCATAGCTGGAAAGTGAACTTACATTTTAAATTCTACAACCTGCTGGCCTGCTTCTCTTTCAGGCTTTTTGCAGTTGGTCAGAGTGAAGATAAGTCTTGAGAATCTCCCTGGCTTCTTGTTGAGCAGATTTTAGATTTGCTTTTATTTTTGTAAAAGTTCATCGTGGAAGCCTCAGATATATTACAACCTTCAGGTCTTCAGTGTGGGGTGTTAGTTGCTAGATGTTTCTCTCCTACCCTTGTCAGGTTTAACACCTAGTATTTTATCTTATTTGTGTCTCTAGCATTCACTTTTTATTTGCCAATGTTCTGTGCAACTCATAAATCTAATGGAAGGAAACTTAGTCCCATTTGTTATATTTTTTTCTTAAAATATAAATACCTTCGCCTAGTACAGTTAGACTGACATTCATAACATGATAGCACGAGGAAAGCACTGCATGCAAACATTGGAGGTATCTGTAGTACAGATCCCTGAAACATGGATGACTCACGTGTTAATGAAAAAAAAAAACACCTCAAAATCAGAGCAAAAACTCTCCCCAAAAAAGTATTTAATAAAATGAATTATTATTTCTATCCTCTGACTCTGGAAAGGGCACCTTCACATTCCTGGCAAGAGTTTTGACTCATCAGGACCAATTTTGTGGAGACAACCTGCAGTTGTCAGAAGCAGGCCAGTGACAAGAATTAATATATTAACTGGTATGCAGTACTCTTTGACAAATTGCTTACT